AAAACAAGCTTATGGAGAAGACTAGCATGCTAATTTTTGTCAAAAGCCTTAGATATGTCAAGAGCAATAGCTCTAGTCTCTCCGCCTCCATCTAATGCACAATAAAATTTTTCAGTCACAGCAGTTAGCAAGTCAGCTGTAGAGCAGGAAGATCAAAAATTGTATTGATTATCTGGCAGTATGTTATTTGAATCAAGATGGGATGTAAGAAATTTGTTTATCAAAGACTCAAAGGCCTTGCTAATAACAGAAACAAGACTGATTGGACAATAATTGGATGGGTTCACCAGAGTGAAAATCGGAATAACAGATGCCATTTTCCAGCAGACAGGAAAGCAAGAATAAGTCAAGCACTTATTAAATATTTAGAGAAAATTGAAGAGAGTTCTGGAGAAAAATTGTGTAAGACTAAGACAGTAAGGTTGTCTGGACCAAAAGCCATAGAAGAGTTTAATTGAAATATGACATTAGCAACAGAAGTTGGAGTGATTTAAATGTCTAACATTGGGTTAACCTGTTTAATTGGAATGGAAGGAAGAAAACAGCCATAAGACTCGATAGTCAAATTAGAAGAAAAGTTCTTTGCAAATAGTTCTGCCTTATCCTTACAAAAGGTAATAAGATCAATCCCATGAACGAGAGATGGAATGTTAGACCTACCTTTGTTAACAACGCTGTTGAAGATTTTCCAAAAGTCTCTAGAGCCTAACCTCTGAGATAAGATACAAGATTTAGTGAACTGAGAATAATGGAGCTTAGCATCTGACAGCACTATTTTATATGGATTTCTTGCAATAATAAATAGCTGTTTGTTCTCAAGAGAGTTGTTCTTTTGAAAAAGATGAAAAAATTGATTATGATTAGGTATAGCAGCTAAACAAAAGGGTGAAAGCTATGGAGTATAATAAGGCTTGACTTAGAACCAACAAGAAGAAATAAAAGCTTCCATTTCTGCCTGAATCCAGGAGGTTACGTAGGAGGCACATGTATCTTATCTCAGCTAAGAGGAAAAGACATCAGCCCAAGGACCGTCACAAAGAAAATCACAAAAAGAACCCCAATCAGCTTAAGGGTAGTAGTAAGTAGTGTGATGAAATGGTGAGTCCGAAAAGGAAGTACGAGATGAAAGATTTAAAGAGACAATTGCATGGTCAGAACCATAGAATCAGAGACTGAACACAACTAAGATCAGAGACAATACATAAATCAAAGAGTAAAGGTAAATGATTAGGGTTGTCAGGAAAATGAGTCACAAAGTTAACTACCTGAGTTTGCATACCCCTTAGCCAAGCATGTGACTATAGTAGTGTTTGCGAATCAAAGGATAGTACCCATTAACACTGAGATCAGAAGAACAATATCATAATTTAAACTAAGAATAAGCAATTCTGGTGATTTTTGCAAGAGGTAAGATTCAACTGATGGAAGGTTGCTTTGCAGTCCAAGAGTATTAAAAGATATATTAAAACAGTTGGGTGGTGGGGATGGTTTTTTATTTTTAACATTTTAGTTTACTTTTGGCATAAATTAAGTTTTAATATATAATTTAAGAATTTGGCTCATTCATAGATAAAACATGGCCTCCCAAGCAATGAGCTGTGCAATTTTCTTAGTCATAACATGTCGTAACATTGGGCTCCTTACTTGGCCTCAACAATGCGCAACAAAAGCATTAACAGAGACACCATCCATGTGCAACATGGCACTGTTAATACTCTGATATTTTGCAGCTGTTGTAGGAATTAGCTTCTCTGAGAGCTACCACAGAATTTGGAAAACCTTGCTACCAGGTGTCCTCAGAACCATTAAACTGAGTTTTAGAGCTGAACCCTCATTAGCAGATTACAGGTAGATATCTCCTAATGAGGGTTTGCATAGCCACTATCAAGGAGGCACAAGCAAAAACCTATGAGAAGAGTCAAGAAGATCCAGCATTCATCATCCTAGGCAGGAAACAATGTAATACAGATTTACATCTACGCCAGCCTAATAGATGAAGAAGGGGTTTGAGACTGGTCAACAGAATTATTCTGCTTACCCCTAAAGTCTTTGCCTAGAAGGCCTCCTACAAGACAGTAGCAGAATGCAGTTAACATCTGCCCGAGGTGAGTATTTTTATTGAGACATCATCTCTAGGTTTTACTCAACCAAGAGCCCCAAGGCAGGGGAATTTCAGCTGGATGCAGTTGACTGCCCAAGATAAATATTTTTATCGAGACACCATCTCTAGCCTTTATTCGACCAAGAGCCCCAAGACAGAGGATTTTTAAGTTAAAGTTTGTTTCTCCTAACATTTGCTTAAAAAAGTACACTCTACAAGTAGTAAGTAACAGGGGCCCCAGCCCCTATGCACTTACATTTAATAAGATTTAGCAGGGGTTGATAGCTGGGGCTAGAAAAAAATTTAGAATTTTATGTATTATAATTTTATACTTACATTTACTATTTATTAAATACTGGCATATATTTATATATTTTTAAACTTAATTTACTTCCAACAACATTGCAAGCAACCACTATTAAGTTATGAGTTACTTTAAAATAGAGGATAGGGTTAAAAAGCAAGGAAATGATTAACTGAAGACTTCAAAAGTTGTAGGTTGTATAAAAAAGGAAAACATGAAAATGGGTAAGAGTTATAAGACTTGATGTGCAAGGAAAAAAACTGGATTAATAAACGTTTTTATAGTATAAAGGGATAGAAATAGTAAAAGAATGCAACTTGTTCAATAAGTACCTAATCAAGAATAACTTTTGGTTTATCTTAATAGAGATGATAGATCATTTGAGCATTGACCATGACAGTATTTGTAGAAAAAGAAAGAAATGCAATCTTGCAACAATGGGAGAGTGGCTCAAGCTTGGCAGATAAAGCAGGTCTTATTACATTTACAATGTGCTTTTAGCCTTTGTCTGCTTGTTCTAAACAATCAAACTTCAATACTGCAGTTAGAAAGAAATGACTTAATAATCTCAAAAACTTTATATTAACAAACTAATAAAAGAGTGAAGACTAGGGTGTTAAGGAGGTCAAAGTGTTTTAAAAATAATTAAGGAGAGTTTTTAAAAATTGGAATCAATCACTTCTTTATCAATTTTTAATGGTTTAGCAAAAATTGAATAGAGTTCTGGAAAACGCATTTTAATACTATGATGGAAATCTTGTCTAAAAAACAAACTGTAGAAGTTTTTAATTGAAAATTAACTTTAGCATTAGAAGCCAGAGTGATTTATATGTTTAACAATGGGTTAACTGTTTAAATGGTACGACAGAAAGAATATGGCCTTTAGATCCAAGAGTCAAGATAGAGGAAAAGTTCTTTCCAAATAACTCTACCCTACTCTAGGGAGAAGTAAAAAGATTAGACCCATAAATAAGAGACTCAATGTTAGGCTTAATTTAGTTAATGATACTGTTGAAGACTTTCCAAGTCTCTAGAATCTAACATCTGAATAAGATACAAGGTTTGATAAACTGAAAATAACAGAGCTTAAAATTGGACAGGAACTTTTTACATTGGCTTCTTGCAATAATAAAAGGACATTTGTTCTTAAGAGAGATGTTCTTGTAAAAAAGATGAAAAAAATGATTACAATTTAATAAAGCAACTGCTCAAGATGGTAAAAAAATGTGGAGAATGAGACTTGACTTAAAATTGAAGAGAAAGAATAAAAGCTTTAAAACTTTTATTCCAGAAGGAAACTTCCAAGATGCACTATAAAATGCATATAAGCATACATAATATTTATATAAACATATATGTTTGCTATTTATTTAGATGCTGGCAAACAATATTCTTTTATATTTACATAAACTTTAGTATTTGGTTTTTACTTTAGTATGGTGTAGTATTTGCTGAAAGAGAAGATGATCAGATGCATGTGAGTTGTGACTCTAACAAAACAAGATTCATAATCTTAATAATCAGATAAAACAAAAAATGTTGTATTGAACAATGTTTGTTAGGTAAGATTAAAGTAATTAAGGTTCAGCAGGTAGAGAGGTAGCAGCTTCAGGAGAAAATGGTGGAGGTAGAAGTAAGAAAATTTGAAGAAAATGCTTCACATATTGCATTAATGAGCTTTAGTTAAGGAAAGAAAATGCTCTAGATTGTTCATATTAGAGAAACAGCATAAAAGAGGAAGGCTAAAGCCTAATCATTATGATGATAATGGTGATGGTGATGATGGTAATGATGACTATGATGATCATATTGATCATAATGATGTTTATACATACATATGTATACATAATATAACATGAATTTTTAATTTAAAAATTACACTTTAGGATGTATAAATGTTTATGCAGCCCTGGTCACAAACCTGGCTCCGGCCCCAGCCCCTTCTATTATATATATATATATATATATTACAAACCTGACTCCGGGCATAGCCCCTTCTATTATATATATACAGCCCCTTTTATTATTATACTTTATCAAACTTGGCCCTGTTCAAATTTTAACCCCGGTTGCTTACTATCTTCAAGGCAGCAAGGGGTGGGGCAGGTAGTACTGTGTTACATAATACCAGTAGCAAGATGATCATGATGATCCTGAACCTGACCTAACCTGGAGTAATTAAAAGGAGCTACTTCCTGAAAACAGCACATTGAAACATCGGGCGTTATATTTTGGAAATGCATTAGGAAAAATATTACATGTAACAAAATAGTAGAGATAAGGGAGTGTCTAGTTAGCTAATAAGCTCACACTGTATCAAAACAAATTTAAACATATAAACAGATTCAAACATTTAAATAGAACACATACACACATAAAGTAACTTACCAGTGAGTAAACACCGCACCAGAGGTTTATACAGAACACAAACATACATATAAACATAAACATTTATGTTATATGAATGTGTCTTTACTTGTATAAATTTTACATTTATACATACATATAAACGTAAAATTTATACAAGTAAAAATACATTCTTTAAATAATTTATTTAAACATTAAATAAAAAAATTACTATAAATATTCTATTACCCTTTTAATTTGATTTTTCCAAGTGTCATCAAAATAAATATATTGCATTTCATTTTTTATACCATACATTAAATATATTGTGTCAATATCATTGTTATTTGTCCGAATTAGAAGACCTGTAAACAAAAGTTCAAACTATTTATAGTATGATTTAGCAGTTAAAAAAGTCATACAATGTATGAAATACAATGTATAGACTATAATGTATAAAAATAACTGCTAACCCATAAATAATGGTTAATGAATTTTATGCTAACTAAATTATTTCAATGCAATTTTTTTTGCTATGTTAAAAGTGAATGGAAAAAAAGTTTATTCTTTAAGAACATTTAAAGAGAACACTTTGTACATTACTTTTTCTTTTAAGTAAACTAAAAAACCAATTGATAGAATAGACAAAAAAAAACTATTATGACACATACTTTTATCAGAACTGTACAAAACAAATAAAAGAACTTCTATAAGAACTATATAAGACAATAGAACAACTTTAAGATAACTATTTTATAAATAGCCGTGCTCAAACAAAGTAAAATGTCTAAAAAACAACCTGTAATTGTCATTATTCTTTCCAGATCAATTCTTATGTAAGGGTTTGAATCTGCTGAACACCAAAAACCATCTGCATCATAAAGTCTTATAGATTTCTTTTTTGAATTTGTTGCTGAAGAACTTATAACATTATTTTCTTTAATAATCCCAGTCTCAAAGCCAACAGGTTGAATACATGCATCTATACAAAAAAAATGTATTTAAAAATGTATTAAAACCTTTTAACCTATAAATTTGTAGTATTAAAAAAATACAAATTATATAAAAGTGTTATTGCAATCACAACAAATATTGATATGTCACAACAAGTATTGATTCACACAACATTATAAAAACTTTTAAAATATTCAACACCAAGACAAACATTATACACTATACAAAAAACAATCTAACCGCCTATTAGAGTTTCTGCATAAACAAAATCTGAGGACATTGATCCAATGGATAAACTATAAACCTCAAGCTATAAAAAATAAATAAAGATAAAAAACATGAAAAAAGATGTTGTAAAACAAAGAAAAAAAATATTTTAAACAATATATACTTCCATTTATAACACAAGTAAAACATTTTTACAAAACTAAAAAACAAAACAAAAAATTTATTTTTGACATTCCTCCAAAAAAATGATAATTATATTTGTAGAGTGTTTAGTAACTACCACGTAATTTTGAAAAATTTTATTCAAATACGAACATTTAATTTATAATACTGTTATTTTCTATATATGCATATATAATATATATATATATATATATATATATATATATATATATATATATATATATATATATATTTATATTACATAATTAACATATAAATGTGTATATAATATATATGTCTATAAAAATGTAAATGTATATATAATATATATACATTTATATATATATATATATTTTATATAAATAGAGTATATGTATAGTATATATATATGTATATATATATATATATATATATATACATATATATATATATATATATATATATATATATATATATATATATATATATATTATATATGTATATATATATATATAGTATATATATATATATATATATATATATATATATATATATATATATATATATATATATATATATATATATATATATATATATATATATATATATATATATATATATATATATATATATATACATATATATTTATATAAGATACAATAAACATATATATTGTATATATATATATAGAGAGAGAGAGAGTAAATATATATAAAAATATATATTGCATATATATATATAAATATATGATATATATATATATATATATATATATATATATATATATATATATATATATATATATATATATATATATATATATATATATATATGATTTAAAGGATAACATCTTGTGTGAGAGTATATTTATATATTATTTTAAAACATCAAAAATACGAGTTCTCTTAACACTTATAATTTTTTTATTATTATAGAAATTTTCGCTGGATTTTAGATACCAGCTTCTTCAGCTTGTTAAATGTTACAGTAATTAATAAAATCGTTATAATTTAAATTAAAACGTTGCTATTGACGTCAGCGGTTGAATGGCTTCTTTTTCGCTGAAATTGAAAAAATGGCGTCCAAAACTTAGTTTTTACGTATTGACCCTCATCGAGATTAATCCCGCCATTTTTTGCAGAACACATGTTTTTTTGTATTTCTAGGGCTTCCCTAACTTTTCTTTCAAATTTTTTATTTTCTACTTTCAATGTTTTTGTTTGTTCCCAAATAATTTCTTTTTTGCAAAATGTTTTATGCAGAGCTAATGCGGATTGATGTTGCTTATTTTCATTAATGCTTTTTTGGTGTTGATGCATTCGTGTGTTTACTTTCATTTTTGTTTCGCCTACATACACTTTTGAACAGTTGCGTTTGATTATATATGTTCCCGGTTGACTGTTATTAGGTAGTTTTGATTTATTTTTTGATGTTAACAGGGATCTTAAGTTTGGGTTTGATTTGAATACCGCTCTGTAACCAGCTTTTCGGAATATTTTCCTAAGTTTTGGCGAGAGACCGGGTACCCATGGTAAGGAAACTACAGGATAATTATTGATTTCAGATGGAATTGTAATTTTATTTTGTCTTTTGTGTTGAAACTGATACACAATATTCATCATTTGAGTTTTATCGTAACCATTTTCAATAAACACGTCGATTAGAAAATTTATTTCATTTTGCAAGTAAGACTTACTACAGATTGAGTAAGCTCAGTGGAGAAATCCTTTAAAAATAGAGTTCAAGATATTTGGATCATGATTTGAGTGTGGCTTAATTTGAATGTTAGTGATAGCATCTTTCCGATATACTCTGTATTCATACTTTCCTGTTTTTTTATTCATAATTTGTATATCCAGATAATTTAGTGTTCCTAACTCGTTTTCAACTTCAATTGTATACTGGATGGAAAGATGTTGTTGATTTAAAATGTATTGGAAATGTTTTGCTTGGTTGAGATCTGGAAACCTTGCGTGACTATCATCGACATATCTTAAGAACGATTTGAGGTTAAGTGCAGGGTTGAAATTTAGTGCAACTTTAATTGCATTGTTTTCATGGAATTGTAGAAATGATTCTGCAAGAACGACCATGAACGAAAGTCCAATTGGACCCGAGTTTTCCATTATATGAATTTCATTGTTCCAATGAAAATAACATTGAAATAAACAAAGTTCTATAAGTTGTTTTATTTCAGGTATACTTAGTCTTGTTCATTTTAATAAAGTCAAAGGAATTTTTTAATCTTGTCAAGTTTTCATTCAAAACTGGTTGTATTATCTTAACTAAGAACTCAGATATTCCGTAGTTTGCTGTGCCGATTGTGGAGATAATTATTCTCATAGGATAGAATTTTTCAGGTTTGTGGGCTTTGATTACACCATACATACAAGGCGGGATGGGATCACTAGGATATATTTTTTCGTATTCCTCTTTTGAAAAACAGTTTCTTTTATTTAGTTTTGAAAGATATCTACGAATTTTAGCCGCGTAATTTGCAGTAAGGGTAGTTTAAAAATAAGATAACAAAAAAAGTAAAATATTTAGGTATATTTTTTTGACAACAATTTTCCCTTTTTAATATTCAAATTTTTTTAGCTTATTTTATTTAGATTTTCCTTTGACTTTATTAAAAAAGCTGAATCTTGGAAAATTGACAACGATGAAGTTCAGGTATCTTTTGATGTCGTAAATCTGTATCCGTTGGTTCCTTTAAAAGAAGCCACCCTTGTACTTATAGAAAAATTAAATAATAATACAACATATAAAAAATGAACAAGACTAAGTATACCTGAAATAAAACAACTTATAGAACTTTGTTTATTTCAATGTTATTTTCATTGGAACAATGAAATTCATATAATGGAAAACTCGGGTCCAATTGGACTTTCGTTCATGGTCGTTCTTGCAGAATCATTTCTACAATTCCATGAAAACAATGCAATTAAAGTTGCACTAAATTTCAACCCTGCACTTAACCTCAAATCGTTCTTAAGATATGTCGATAATAGTCACGCAAGGTTTCCAGATCTCAACCAAGCAAAACATTTCCAATACATTTTAAATCAACAACATCTTTCCATCCAGTATACAATTGAAGTTGAAAACGAGTTAGGAACACTAAATTATCTGGATATACAAATTATGAATAAAAAAACAGGAAAGTATGAATACAGAGTATATCGGAAAGATGCTATCACTAACATTCAAATTAAGCCACACTCAAATCATGATCCAAATATCTTGAACTCTATTTTTAAAGGATTTCTCCACTGAGCTTACTCAATCTGTAGTAAGTCTTACTTGCAAAATGAAATAAATTTTCTAATCGACGTGTTTATTGAAAATGGTTACGATAAAACTCAAATGATGAATATTGTGTATCAGTTTCAACACAAAAGACAAAATAAAATTACAATTCCATCTGAAATCAATAATTATCCTGTAGTTTCCTTACCATGGGTACCCGGTCTCTCGCCAAAACTTAGGAAAATATTCCGAAAAGCTGGTTACAGAGCGGTATTCAAATCAAACCCAAACTTAAGATCCCTGTTAACATCAAAAAATAAATCAAAACTACCTAATAACAGTCAACCGGGAACATATATAATCAAACGCAACTGTTCAAAAGTGTATGTAGGCGAAACAAAAATGAAAGTAAACACACGAATGCATCAACACCAAAAAAGCATTAATGAAAATAAGCAACATCAATCCGCATTAGCTCTGCATAAAACATTTTGCAAAAAAGAAATTATTTGGGAACAAACAAAAACATTGAAAGTAGAAAATAAAAAATTTGAAAGAAAAGTTAGGGAAGCCCTAGAAATACAAAAAAACATGTGTTCTGCAAAAAATGGCGGGATTAATCTCGATGAGGGTCAATACGTAAAAACTAAGTTTTGGACGCCATTTTTTCAATTTCAGCGAAAAAAAAGCCATTCAACCGCTGACGTCAATAGCAACGTTTTAATTTAAATTATAACGATTTTATTAATTACTGTAACATTTAACAAGCTGAAGAAGCTGGTATCTAAAATCCAGCGAAAATTTCTATAATAATAAAAAAATTATAAGTGTTGAGAGAAATAGTATTTTTGATGTTTTAAAATAATATATATATATATATATATATATATATATATATATATATATATATATATATATATATATATATATATATATATATATATATATATATATATGTATATATATATATATATATATATATATATATATATATATATATATATATATATATATATATATATATATATATATATATATATATATATATATATATATATATATATATATATATATATATATATATATATATATATATGTATATATTTAAACATCTTCGCTTCCAACAAGGCAAGCAACCACTAACTAGAGTTGTAAGTTACTGGAAGAGAAAAGATGAAGAGCAAGATAATGATTGATAGACAACATAAAACATTGCAAATTATATAAATTAGGAAAGCAAGATAAAGGAAGCGAATTCCAAAGAACTAATGTTCAAGGAAAAAAACTAGAGGAATAAGAAATTTCGGAGCACTTAGCAACAGTCACAGAAAAAGGATGAGACTTGATTGAATGACGAGTAACACAAGAATAAATTTTAGTATATGGCACAAGAGAAGGTAGCTCTTTAGAGCAGTGCCCATTATAGTGTTTGTAGAAAAGAGAAAGAGAAGCAACATTACAACAATCTGATAACGGTTGAAGGTTGGCTGCAAGAGCAGGTACAACTATGTTTACAATGCGTTTTTGCACCTTGTCTAAAAGGGAAAGGACATGATTAGAAAATACGCCCCAGATATGGCAACAGTATTCCATACAAAGCCGTATTTGAGATTTATCGAGATAGAGAATAGAATTTGAAGTAAAAAAGTGTTGAGCTCGATAAAGAGATGCAACTTACGCAGATGCTAATTG